TCTGTCCCAGCCGAAACCAGGACAGCCTTTGTCACTACCCAAATTTATTTTAATTGGCAATAAATTAAATTAATTTTCCCCAAGTTGAATCTGTTTTGCCCGCAACAGTAAGTGGTAAGCAATCTCACCATCTTTGTATCAACCCATGAGTTTCCTCATCCTTCTGTCCCACTGAGGAGGGGAGTGACTGGCTGGGTGGGAGTTTGGCCCTTAGCCAGGGTTAACCTACCACACCAGTACCTGTGACTGTGAGAACGATCTTTCGACTTACTAGAAGAAGTAGGTTTCTTTTTTTCTGGACTTCCTGTATCTTCCATTTCTGCTTCAGTGCTCTCATTGGTTGCAGCTGCTGCCTTTCTTTTTTTCTGGGGAAAAAAAAAAAAGGGGGCAACTGAACTCAAGAGCAGAAAAGACCATACAAAGTAGAAAATAGCTTATCCTCACAAGGTATTCCCCAATTTTAAGCATTATTTCTTCATGTATTATAAAAAGTCTCCAGCTGTAGAGAAAATTTATTCATATATTAATGCAAGAATACTAGTACTAGGCAATAGACAATTTAAAAGTTCAGTTTCCCATCTGCAAATCACTTGAAATTTTAATGTATGAAAACACAAGTTTCTATGATCAAAACCTGTTTTTTATTTACACTGAATAACTATTACAAAAGGAGCAACCTGAAAAATCTTAAAGAACACAGAAAAACATTTTACCCAAAGTTGATGTTAATTGCTTTTTTAAAAGCAATTACACCTCATTAAATTCAAGTTTATCTGGATCCGTGCTTCTTAAGGCTGTCTTTGCACAGCTTAAAAGTAGCTAACACCCACTGACAGTACATTATTATTTTTTTCTAATAGCAACTATGGGTTCTGTTCCAAAGAGAGGTACTTGGGAAATCTGAACTCTATTCAAGGTACATTATCTTAAAACCTCTAAATGGATAGAACTGTTATTATCTGTGTATTACAATTAATCTTACCATTGAAAAGTATTCTTAAGGTGGTTATGGAAAGATTATTTTTTTAAAGCCATGTGATTTTTGCAAAGGATGAGTTGACCTGTATCTGTATCAGACATAGATGACAACTTTGATGAACACTGGAAGAGTTATCTCTTCCTTTTTTAATTTTTTTTTTTAATTGTGAGAGACTAGAGCTTTACTAATCCAGCTTTAAAAGTGGCTACAACTTGACATGGCTCATGAGAGAAGGGGAGAGTGCATTACATCTTTCCTTTCCAAAGTGTTGCTTCATGATTACCATCTAAACCCTGCTGGGCTGAACAGATTGGTTCGATAATTACATACAATAACTGCAGTGGGCAGGTAACCCTCAGCTGGCACAGGGCAGCTCCCCTGTGAGAACTTCCATATGCAAACTGCACTGATGGAGTGCATTAGGTACATCTTTCCTGCCGGTGCACAGGCCTGATTACCGCCAGCCAAGACTCCAAGGTTAGCATGTCAGCAGATTTGTGATGCATTAGGCAGGAATAAACACAGACACTTTTGTTCATTCTGACCAAAATTAAGGAAGACTATTTCAGTGCTGTACTGATTTTATATGAGAGATAATGCATTCCTCCCAATTGTACTAGAAAACATTTTAAACGCTCATCAGAAAAACAGATATCCAACACATGCTACACAAAAGCAAAATACATTTATCTTGTTTCCAAGCTTATTTAATAAAAAGTGGTTTCTTAATCTTGATGCAGGTGAATTACAAAGCAGTAGAAATCAGGCAGCATTCATCTGACAAAAGCAACACCTGCGCATCTGAAGCTGAACATCAGAAGGAACCACAAATCACTAAGATCCATATTTTTCCAATTTAGTTTACTCCCAGTATTTCCCAGCAACTCTTCAGCACTAAACAAAAGAAAGATGTGGTCCTTGTCCTAAATAATTTAGTCAAGAGATACTTCCTTCAACACATGGTACTGTTAGCTTCTTGTTTTGCTAGAACTAATATAAAATATCACACACACAAAGCAACATGCATTTACTATACAGAAAAAAAAAAAACAACAACAAAAACAAAAAACCCCTAATCTCCAGCAGAACTGTGGACTGTGTTTCATTTTCTTATACATCTGGGGAAACTTGAGTCATGATATAGAAAATAAAATGTTAACTTTTAATATAGCAGACATCTGTGAGTTTTAGCAAGATACGAATACTGGAGAATGACTGAGATTCCAGAACAACCATGCTTATATGCAATATATAATGCACATCATGGCTCAATTAGCTGTACGAGCTGAAAGCACAGGAGAAGCCTACATTCTAAGAATTTACTTACACAGAAGCTAGAAATATTGTCTCTTAGCTATGAAATAGCGTAACTTCAGAACACCAAATAACACTGTTTTAATAAAGTATTATGGTAGACTGCCCCAAAGGAATTGAAGAGGAGGTATCTTAAGATCTACTGTGATTAAAAGATCAGTACAGCCAAAATGCCATAAATACTCTATATTAGAGGTCACCATCTTCTCAAGGGTGGATGCCAGACTGCATTTTTCTTTTCCAAATTAGACATTAAGCACGCCACAAGAAGTTAAGCATGTGCTTTCAGAGGTAAGATGCTACTGATCAATGGTAAGTTATCTTTATGGAAACCAGTTTCTAACTGAATTTGGAATTTGGAGCTTATCTTTAAAACACTCAGTCATCCAGCTGAACTTTCTCTCACAGCTGAAAACACACATAATTTTAATTAGCATTCTATGTTCTTCCTTTCCCCCCCTCTCTGTACTTAAGTGTCCAGCTATTCTCAACTAGCACAAATCATCTTCCTGTTCTCCCAGTCTCTCATTAATGTTTGATAGCCCCTGGAAGAAAAACCTAGTAGCATGAGTTCGCAAACATATACTCTGGGAAGG